GCCACCAATCATCTTGAAGCTTCTCAAATCCTATATCACACAAAAATCAGATAGGAAAATAGAGAATAATGTAAGTCGGAGGTCAATTTTGTGATCGAAAGTAGATTGTAAGAAAATGAAAGTGTACATAGAGCATTAATTACAATCGAGAGAAGATGAAAGCTTGACAATATCAATATGAGTAATGAGAGCTTGTTAACCAGTTGGTAATTTGACATTCATATGAGAAATTGGTTGATATTGCTAAACAATCCTAAAGAGCATATAATGTGATTTGTGGCTCTAGTGTCTAATATTCAAATAGGTGTCATAGCTATAGAATTGGAACAACAGGAAGAAACTAGTTTACTTGTCATTTCACAAATAGAAGAAGATATAGTCTCGAGGGAATATACTTGGATAGGAGTAGGCTTAATCAATGCTAGTAACTTGTTATACCGATCCGATGTAAAGGACATGGAAAGAGGCATTGTTGTATGAGTATCAAAACTTGAAACAAAGTTCGGTTGTTAGACAAATTAGAATTATCAACACATGGCCTAGAGATATAAGCTTTTGTAGATAACCTAGCAACTTGTACACGATTCATAGAATCATTTCTATAAAGAAGATTATAAGAACTAAAATGAGAACAAACTCTAGGAGTTCTATATTTTGACCTATAACTAGGAGGAAATCCATGTTTCTTATAGTATTTATCAATAATGTGACCCCGAAGACCATAGTAAAAACAAATTGGCCTATTGGAAAATCGAGGTTGAAATCCTTGGGACCTCCTTTTGGATGAGAACTAGACACTTCTTTACTCATAAAAACAATGGATGAAATTCCAGCTTTTAATTTGGATTAAGAAGATCCTAAACATATTTTCCTTTCTTGTTGAAGCACGAGGGAAAACACTTTATTGATCTCAAGTAATGGCTCTGAAGCATGATTTAGAACATAACAAGTAGAATAATTCTCATTCAATCCTTTCAAAACCCGATCACATAGTCATTCATTTGATAAGTTTTAACAATTTTAAGTGCCTCACAAGTGCAACGAGGATTACAAGAACAAGTAGGCACTAGTCTCGCATTCACCAATCTTCCTAAAGGATCTTCGACTGAGTGTAGTATTGTGTCATAGAATCGGCTTTTTAATGAAAAGAAGAAATTTCATCTCGTAAATAAGCAATTCTACAAGAATCTTCGTGAGAAAATCTTTCCTTCAAGTCATTCCAAACTTCAATTTATGTATCCAACTAGTAGACTCGTTGTGTGCAATTCAACGAGAAATTGAGTTGATTATCCACGACAACACCATCGTGTTGTACCTTTTCCAACTCGCATACAAAGGATCCGTATTTATAAGAATTGAAATACATCCATCAATGAACTTGCACTTGTTCTTTGACAATAATGTCATTTTCATGGATCTTGACCATGAATGATAGTTAGAATCGGTGAGTATAGGTGAAATAAGAACCAGTGAAGGATTCTCATTACCGTGTAAGAAGTACGGATTGGAAAGTTGATCTTCGAATTTGGAAATGGAAGCTATAAACCGATTCTCTACCATTGACATGTAAGACAATAATCAATGAAAGAAAGAAGCTGAAATAAGGTTGTTTGATCTATTGGATTCTCAAAGAAATTGAAAGGAGAATCAAGAAACCTTCATGTATATACTCGTGTGTTTCTTAAGAAAATGAAAAAGAAGAAAGAAAGTTTTAGACGAAAATAGAAAATATTTTGATACCATAATGTGAAGATTTTGATGTAACTGCTTTTTCAATAATTCTTTAGTGGGAAGCCAACGACTTTCTATACAAGATATTAAGGCGTAATGTTAGCTATGCTAACTAACTAAGGAAGAAAACACTAACAACATCTAACAGATTAACTAATTAGCTTTTATTTAACAACTAACTAATATGTTAACTAATTACAAAGACAACTAAAAGCAATAGCTGTATATACAATCGATAATAACAAGACCATTAACTATTAAGTGTATATAGTAAGGATGAAAAATCCTATTGGTGCAAATAATAATAATAATAAGAATAAGAATAATTAAAAGAAAGAAGACAGGAAAAAACAACAGTACTCCCAAGTATCATTGGTTGTATTTTGAAACTATTACTTGTTGACGGAGAGTATTAAATTTGAAAAGTTGTTATACATTGAATTGAGACAATGTTTTAAGGATCGAATTGATTATTATTATTATTATTATTATTATTATTGCAGTTAAGAGACTTATTCGAGATTAAAAAAAAAGACCGAGAATGTAATATGAGGTGGCATTGGACCCACGAATCAGTTTGCAGTAAATCATCCTATTTCCATGTGACATCAAGGGGCTCTAGCAGGTCATCTCCTTCCCTTCCACTCCTGGCCCAGCACGCGCTCTCCACGTGAGCTTACACACAAAAATTAACGGGATTTTCCCCATAACACCCTCAAACTGCCTTCTTATTAGTAAAATACCGTGAAAAAGTGCGCTGTCAGTTCCTCAAACGTCACAGTGGTTCACCTGATCCCCTCTCACTCATGCAACACCCATTATTATCCAGCCACGAGAGTCCTCTTTTAATAGTCAGAACTTCACTGCTCGACACGTGGCTCAAATAGATGCCCCTAGAAGTCTCTCTCTCTACACTTTCAAAAGCTCCCTCCTTTTTAACTGTCTCTTTCTCTGTCTGAAAAAACCTCTCCCTCTCTCTCTTAGGGTTTTGAGCTCTCAAAGAAGATTCAGCTAAAAAGATTTCATGGGTATGTGCTTTTTCAGATATCAATTAATGGTTTTTTTTTTTTTTTTTAGATTTTTGAATTACTTAATTTTTAAGCAGAAGTTTGTGTGATGTATCTAAGTTTCTGCTTGGTTGGTGAGAAAAGTTGAGAATTTGAAGGGAAAGTTTATAGTATGAGTTTTCATATGTGTTGTATTTCCAACTGGTAAGATAAAGTTTCTATCTTTTCTTCTATTTTCTTTCACTGTCTATGCTGCCAAACCAAGGGTAGTATTACATGCATGAGTTGGTTCTTTTTTTTTTCAAGTTACTGATCGTTCTTTGATTGTTGAAGAAAAATTGAAGGGAAATTGTTAGTTAGTTGGTGAATCTTAAGCAGTAGTGTTGGTTGAGATTCTTCGATGGGAGAGATTGATGTGGTTGATTTTTGTTGATTTACTGGATTTTTTTTGTTCCCAATTACTTCAGAGTTCGCCTGTGATGTGTTTATGTGCTTGTTTAAATCCATGCATGTAATGTGTAAGTTTTAATTTCCCAATTTCTGGTGCATAAATGAGTTTTGAGGTATTTAAAGAGAAAGTAGATTTAAGCAAATTAGAGCTTACGGAAGTTAAGTCTGTCTTGATTGGAATTGCAATTCTCTATTCATTTTTCCTTTCCTGTTATTTATTTTGATTTTTAGAATCTGCAAATTTTCAGTTTCTCTGTATTGCGCGACTTGTACCAAATGTATTTTGTTAGATGGCATGCATTCTGGTTTTGGGTTTTATTATGATTTATTTTGTTGTTTTGTGGCATGCATCTTTATAGGTGCCATTGTTTGCTGCAATGGTAAAAGTCTTGAATTTGCAACAATAAGAATGTTTATGTTCAAGTTTTGAAAGCAGCCACTTCATGCAAAAATGCTGAAGACTAAGACCCCAAAATCCCTCACTAGGATCTAACTTTTTCATGGAACAGTAGCTGGGTAATGGCCTTTGATATTATACCTTTTCTCTTGTGATTTTTGTGACTACTACATATTTTGTCATGCGAAGGTGATCTAAGGATTTGAATGAACCCCAAAACTGAGTGGGCAGCAAAAGGTGCAATTGTTGAGTGGTTGAATTTTTTGCATATATTGATGGGAGAATCCATGGTAAAATTTCGGGGGTATTTGTCTTGAAATCTAATGGAGAGACATGATTATACAAATCTCAACATGGTTGAAGGTAGTGCAGAAGTGATAGGATTTGAAATTATATCATGCAGTGATACCTGGTCATTGAAGGTTTATATTCATGATAATAGAGGAAGTCATTGATTAGTTTAATCAAGAAACCTAATTTTAAGAAAAGGTGTCTTACCACGAGCAAACTTTTGTAGATGATTTACATTTGTCACTGTGGTAAAGCTAGAAAAAAATGATTATGCTGTTTTAATTAACCTTGGAGAGTGCATCATCAAACTGGATGCTCATGTTTTCCAAAGGGAGGTACCACTCTTTTATAAAAACTGTAGTTTATGATACGTATTGATTCCTGAACATTTGTAAGTAAGTGGATGGAAGATGAAGTTAATTAAGGAGAGGAAGTGGGTTTCTAATCCTAATTACTCTTAGTAGAAGGTTTGATATCATTTGTATCCATCAGCTCAACTATCTAGCAGTATACCAGATATAGAATAGTGGAACGAGCAAAGGACTAATGACTAGCTTATAGGCATATTGCTTGCGTATGCATGCACACAAATCTGTGGTGCAAAAGCTTAACCAGATGTTCAGTAGCAAGAATGGATGGATGCTTGTGCATTCAGAAGACAAATGATGGATGTGGAAGCCAAGTCATATGTCTCCTTCAGGTTGTTGTGGAGTAGAAGCATTAAGAGTAATCCGCCAATTCTGTGGAAGGAGAGAAGGCCTGTATGATCTACTATTAATTTGTTGACATATTGTTGTTGAAACTTGAGGAGATCCAATTTAAATAGGAAATTGGTCTTTCTTGAGATTTACTTATTTCACTGAGCATGAGATTAACTCTTTGGGTCTAAATTGTTTATCTAATCTTTAGTTCAGTTTTTTCCTCCATTTCTGTAAAAGTTTAGACATTTTGAAACATGACAAATGGGTTTCAGATGCTGTTGGCAGGTGTCTAATTGCAGGAATTACATTTTTGAAGTTCTACCTTTGCTTCCATTTGCTGACTCTCTCTCTCTTTTTTTTTTTTTTAAGTATTCTGATGAGAGATAGCTAGAAAGAGGGCAGAAAGAAACTCTAAAAGCGGGTATGGACCAATCAGAACAAACTCAACAGCAACAGTCACAGCAACAGCAACCTGTAATGGGAGTGGTAGCTGGTGCAGGTCAGATGGCCTATGCTTCAACTTCCTGCCAAACTGCTCCAATGGTGACTTCTGGGACTCCTTCCATAGCCATCCCCTCCCCAACTCAGCCTCCAACCACCTTCTCTAATTCACCACACCAGCTTACATACCAACAGACCCAACATTTCCACCACCAACAGCAGCAGCAGCAACAGCAGCAGCTTCAGATGTTCTGGACCAATCAAATGCAAGAAATTGAACAAACAACTGACTTCAAGAACCATAGCCTTCCACTTGCTCGGATTAAGAAGATAATGAAAGCTGATGAAGATGTTCGGATGATTTCAGCTGAGGCTCCTGTTATTTTTGCTAAAGCATGTGAAATGTTCATCTTGGAGCTCACTCTGCGCTCTTGGATCCACACAGAAGAGAACAAAAGGAGGACGCTTCAAAAGAATGATATTGCAGCTGCAATTTCCAGGACTGATGTTTTTGATTTCTTGGTTGATATTATTCCAAGAGACGAGTTGAAAGAGGAGGGTCTTGGGGTCACTAAGGCAACTATTCCTGTTGTTGGTTCTCCGGCTGATCTTCCATACTATTATGTTCCTCCTCAGCATCCAGTGGGACCTCCAGGGATGATCATGGGAAAGCCAGTTGATCAAGCAGTTGCCTATGGAGCCCAGCAGCCACGACCTTCCATGGCATTCATGCCATGGCCGCAGACTCAACCACAACAACCTCAACCGCAGCAAAGTGATACCTGACCTTGACAGCCTAGGAAATGTGGCAGGAGTCTGATTATCGAGGGATTATTTCAGTGGCTTCTTGCATCTGTAGCGAAGGGGTTAGCTTAGCACCAGTCGGTCTTTGTGATACCAAAACTGAGTTGTTTATGATGGTCAACATGTGATCAAGTATGTGCTTGTCCGCTGTACGATTTTATGGATCTTAGATTCTTTGGTAGTTTATCTTTAAACAGAAGGATGTTGATGCCTAGGATGAATGGAGCGTTAGAAGTTATGCATCCTTTTACATAAAAGGTTCTGAACAAGTTGCAAACGTGGTTCATGGTAATCCGTGGTAATCCATTAGTTCTAGACTTTTGCTTCGTTTATGGTTTGCAGCTGAGATTAGTTCAGATTTCTGCGATTTAGAAAGAATGTAGTTTTGTCGTTCTGTTTTAAAACGTGCCAAAAGCAAGCATTTCATCCTCTACCATTGGAAGCTTTAATTGTATTATTAGCTGCATAAAAGGCAATCTCCGTGAGCTTGGTTTCTTCTATGAAATGACGTGCTTGCAGACCATCTTTTGTGAAAATTCCACTTCGTTTCTTATAACTTAGAAATGGCTAGTATGAGCACGTTCTCATATGACAAAAAAGAATAAGGTGTGCATGAACGCCAAAGAGTGGAATTTTCAACATAAAAATTGGCTAGCGCCCGTTTTCACTTGAGAACATGCTTATACTAGCCAATCCCTAAGAACTGCGTCAGCCAGGGGCCAGGACAGACCCCGAATGACGCTACTTCTCTGCAGTGGGTATGGTTTAGTTTTCATCTTTGATCTTTTCTTTGCTAACCAAAATGAGTATCGTTCCCTTTCTGGCAACAATAATTTGCATTCCCTGTGAATGGTGTTGACTGCGGTGATGCATCCTAAGTGCTCAAGAACGTGATGGATTTTCTGAGTATCAATGAAGCCACCAAGTAACGCATGGGGTAATCTTTACAAACAATAATAGAATTAAAACGTCAAGAACCAAATACTTCTGTACAAAATAAAATGCCCGCACGCACACGGTCACACACAAACAAAAACAAACAAGCAGACAAACAGGGGAAACACCAAGAGAAAAAAGGTCATCAGTTTAGCAAAACTTTTCTAGGATTAGGTCTAGTTGAAAAGAATTGTGAAATTTCATGCCACTAAGCAAGTTTACAAGAAAAATACAAGGGTAAATTTAGGAGTTACAAACTTCATTCCAATTAGGTAGACAATTAACACTAAACAGTTACAAACTTTATGCATCCAAATCATATTTGCATTTACTGATGATATATGTAAATTACCATCTATTCCATCCAACAAGAAACTTTCTTCAAACTTCGCCCTAAATCCATCTTATAGCAAAAAATTAAGACTGTATGTAATCTATATAACCCATAGCCACTAAGATAACACAAAAACCTAACCCCATTATCAAAGTCACATTAAAAATTAATCACCAAAAAAAAACTCCCACCTTTTTTCCCTACCATCAACCATAGAAACTAAAAAGTTGCATTACCCTAATTCCATAATTCATCTAAACATATCACACAAGAAAACACAAAGCACAAATAAAAGAAACAAAAAACAAGAACAAAATCCTAATCCGTTCCATTAAAAGTACCAACATCAAAATTTCCTTCCTTTTTTTCCTCTAAACCCTTGCATATACAAATAAAACCCAAAACCTTAATGAAAATCAACCAAAACAAGTCTAAAGATTAGATCTTATACAAAAAAGAAGCAACCTTTGATCGATTAGTCCGCATCAACACCTTCATGAGCCCAAGCATGTTCTTGACGAAGCGCAGCCTCTTCTTCGGCAGTAAAATCATTGTCAATCCCGAAAAAGTTTCTCACAAATGCAACACTCTTGTTCTGAATCCTATCAGCAACAGCCTGGTTAAGCACATCAAGCAAATCTTTAATCTCTAAATAGTTAGCCACAGGAATAATCTCCACCAAATCTTCGTTTGTCTTTTCTTTAACAAACTCTACATTAGACTTTTTCTTCTCTGCTTCATCTGGGTTTGCTTTAAACTTGATTTGTTCCTTGCAGAATTCAATAACCTGGGACAATGGCTTGGCTGCAACATTAGGGAGTGGCACAGTGTCGGTCGATGACGGTGAGTCTTCAAAGAAAGATTTCACCGTGGCAAATTCCATTGCTACAGATTCTTCAACTTCAAAGATCTGGTTGTCTGAGGTTTTGAGTGTGATTTTCTTGGCGTGTTTGGCTGTTTCAGTGGTTGATTCGCTTGAGGATTGGGTGGTTTCCGTTGTCAGGGTGAGAATCTCGGTCGAGGAAGACATTGCCATTCGATGGAGAGAATCAGAAAAGAGAGAATACACAGGGAAAAGAAAGGAAATTTTTATTTTCTTTATTTTTATTTTCTTTTAAGCTTGCGTTTGTTGAGTGGGTAGATATTTATGGTGGTTTAAGAATGTATAAATTGACGGAATTGACCCTGTGAATTACTCCAAGTCCGTGTTAGATTTTTATGATAAACGGAAATAAAGAGTACTAGTTTCAATCCGGGTCAAAGACATGTAATTTTCCCAACCCTATTAAAATTCAACTGAAAATATCTTTTAGGGAGTGTTTGATAACCTAATTAAATAACTTTAAAAATTAAGTTGTACTACTTAATATAAAAATTTTGTTTGATAACTTAAATTATCTCATATTAAAATTTTAAGTTCGGTTAAAATCTATTTAATCGGATACGTTAAAATTTTTAACTTATCCGATTAAGTCAAACTATCTAAAACATACTCTCTCTCTGTCTTTCTATATATATATATATATATATATATATATATAATATCAAAATTTATAAATTATAATAATATATTTTGAAAAATAAAATACTCATTTGAAAAGCATAAAAATAATTTATTATATAAATTATAATAATATATTTTTTAAAAATAAAACATCGACGTTATAAAATTTTATTCCAAAATTCATATATTAAAAAATCAAATTTATTAACAAATAAAATTATATCAAAAATTAATTTGATGAGAATTTTAGTAAGAAAAAAATAATTGAAAAAAATAAATTTTAAACAATAAGAGTAATATAATCGGATACATATGTTCAAACTAAAATCTTAAAAAATATCATATATATTCTATCATCTTCAAACATGCTTTTTATATTCGGTACTTAATTTTCGGTAAATACCAAACGACTTGTAAGGAATATATTCAGTACTTAACGTGATTCGGTACTTAAAATTCGAGTATTTAATAGATTCGAGCACTTAATTTTCGGCTTTATCAAACACCACCTTAGTGTTATAAAATAATAAATATCCATAATCATTTCATACTCACTATCCATTATTCTTAACGTAATTCAATTCATCATTCAATATAAAAATTGAAATGATGATGCAATTTATGCATCGTTTAATAGTTTATAGTCCCTTTCAATTCTCTTCTTAATCTTGAAGTCTATAAATAGGTTTGATTGTTCATTAGTTGATATATAAGCATTTTATAGAGATTAAAAGAATTGTTTAGAATTGCTATCTTTTCTATTCTATTTATTTTATAGTGAAATCATTTCTTCATCATTTTTTTCTCTAATTCTATCATTGTTATCATTTCTTTTATAACACTTTATCAAGCACAAAGCTCTAACAAATCGAGACAATAGACTATAAAGTATGTATCTACCAAAAGACTTAATCAATTGTTTAAACTATTGGATTTCTTTTACACAAGTGTTTTACCAAAAAATCTAAATTATTTAGATCATTAAAAAGTATGCATCAAATTTATCATGTATTTTAAATTTAATGATACATAGAATATATATTTGAAAAACTTAAATGATTTAATACACGGAATCTAACGATCTAATATATATTGCTTAAAAATTTTAAATTTTATTATTATTATTATTTTTATTTAAATTTTATAATTATATTTTATTTTTATTTTCTAATAATATTATTATATTTTGTATTATAGAATTTTTATAATATCAAACCTCGCAAAACTTGATTTTGAGACCATTGACATTTTAAGCAAGAATTATTGATCATGAGTGCTTCATGCTAAGTTAATATCATCTACTTTTCACGTCTTGAATATGCTCCTACGGTAGTATATCGAGAAAAAGAGTTTAAAAAATATTCGAATCGATTTTATACTTTCTCGTGGCTAAATAAAATAACAAGTTATTGATGAAAAATAATAAATCTCGTCCAATTGGATCTACTCCATTCCCCGAATTGAATGTGACAATTTATAATAATTTTAGGCATGGACAAAGATGTAAACATAGTCATGAATGTGATCGAAATAATTATCATTATAATCGTGATGATCATAATATTACATCTCACCATCGAAGTGGATAACTATATCTATATATAAAAAAAGAATGAAAATAGATAAAGTCGGTATTCTAAAACTAAATGTTATAAATATGATCCGAATAGATATTGGTTTCGTACCTATTGTACATTAAAACACCTCATTGAGCCTTATCAAGCCTCGTTAAAAAGGAAAGAGTAAAATATAGATGTCAATTTTATATATCAAAACGAGTGGTAATTAAAATTAATAACTCGTTAGCTTTTTTATTTATAAATAAGATGTTTTATATCTTCATATAATTTCTATTGCATAAAAATAAATATAAATTTATTTTACTATTTATTTATTTATATTTATGAAGAATATATTTATTTATTTATTTTATGTTAATATTATATATGATAATATCAATCTAATATAAAGCTCTAGAAGAGCAATATATTATTTTCTCGAAGAGATAAATTTTAAAGACTTTAAAAAAAATTATATTATGACTCGAAGAGATAAATTTTTGAAGCTCTAGAAGAGTAAATATATTATTACTTGAAGAGATAGCATTTAAAGGTCTGTAGAAGAGTCGATATATTATTACTTAAAGTGACATAATTTAAAGACTTTAGAAAAACAAACATGTTATTATCCGAAATGATAAATTTTATAATAAATGATGTACTATTCTCTTCAAAGTCTCATAGAAATTTGTTGAGTTTCAAAGATATTCATCTAAATTGATATCATATCAAGATAGCAAATATGAATATTTATATAATTATTATACCAAGTAGAAAATATGTATTGAAAAATTTACTCGCTTTCTCTTCTAGTCTTTATTACAAATATTAGAATGAGTGAAACAACTACTATAGTAAACCTACTAATTCAAATAATTTTATTATGTGGCATGACCGATTGTGTTATTACGGGTCTTTTATGATGTAAAAAATTATTAAAAAATCATATGGACATCTATTGAAGAGCTAGAAGATTTTTTCAATTTAATGAATTTTCATATTCTACATGTTGTCATGACAAATTGATGATTAAGCCATCATAAAGTAAAATTGAGATTGAATTTCAGTATTTTTAGAATGTATTCGAGATGATAGATGTGGATCAATTAATCGACCATGTAGATCATTTAAATATTTTATGATTTTAATAAATACATCCACAAGATGGTCACATATATGCTTATTATCTACTTGAAACCCGACGTTTTCGAGATTGCTAGCAAATAATTTAATTTCGAGCATAATTTTTAGATTATGCCATTAAAACAAGTCACCTTGATAATGCTTGGTGAATTTATTTCTTAAGCATTAAATTATTATTGATTGACTATTATAATAAATGTTGAACATCCTGTTGCTCATTTATCAAAAGCTTTAATAAACTCATTTATCAAAAGGCTCCAATTGATAGCTAAACCATTATTTAAAACAAAACTTCATATTTATGTTCCAGGACATGCAATCTTATATACATTAACACTTATTCATATCGGACCCATAAGTAATCAGAAATTCACCCCCTTTTAATTGATTTATGGTCAAAAGAATGAACACTTAAAGGAGATTAAAAATATATGTCGAATTTGAATCATTTTCGATAATTAAATATCTTAAACCATGAATAAGGGATATTTTTACAGACTCGATTTATCAATCGTCATTTTGACGAAATAGTTTTTCTAACATTAAAGGGAGAGAACAAATAAAATAAGATATTGAAAATGTTGGAAAAAGAAATTACATGGAGTACTCTATCTTTATATCAACTTGGTACAAAACAATGTGAATTAGCAGTTCGGAAGATAATTCGTTTATAAAGTATCACAAACCAACTCGCTAGATGCATTCTCGGATACTAAAAGAGTAACTAAAATGTATGTCCCCGCCGAGAATACTCCTGTTAGAATTGATGTCCTACAAGGATAGTCTATTAATGTTATAGCTTGTGAATCGAAAGCATGCTCGAACTCGTGAAAAACCGATCGGTTCTAAAGATAAAAATTCCAAAAGGAAAATGGCAAAATGAAAATATAAAGTTGTAAATATTTATAAAACGAGTCCAAGATATTTTTGATAATAGGATTCTAGAAGAAATCCAAATGCTTGAGAAAAATCAAGAGATTTTTATAAATTATGTCAATACAAGGTGAAAATAGGATCGAAAAGAAATATTTATCGATAAAATTTTTATATATAATGTTGAAATTGATATTTTGAATGAAAATAAGGATCCTGAACCAAAATTTATTGAAGAATATCAACATAAAGATGATTGACCTAAATGACAAGAGTAATCCAAACAAAATTATGTTCTCTTATAAAAGAGTAGTTTTTTGAACCCATAGCTAAAACACTTGAAGATATTAAGCTAGTGGGATATAAATATGTATTTATGTGAAAATGAAATAAAAAAGATGAGATTGTAACATAAAAAGTAAAACTTTTACCATAAGAGTTTTTGTAAAGAACCGAGGAGACATATTCTCCTATAATGGATGCAATTATATTTTGTTATCTCATTAGCCTAACAAAATATATGAAAAAAATTCATATGCATGCATTTAATAAATGTGATCATAGTTTATTTGTTTATTTGAAATGATATCTATATGAAAGTCCTAGAAGGACTTAAGATGCTCGAAGTATGTAATACATATTCTCGAGAAATGAATTCAATTAAATTATAGAGATCTCTATCAAAATTATTGTAGTATTAGTTTTTAGAAATTCAATTTATGCTATGCTTTTTATATTTATTTTTTTTTTCAATATCTACTCTTTATTACTAACATGTGTGCATGTGGTACAATTATTTGAATAAATATTTATTGAAAGGAGATTATAAAAATAATCATATTTATTTATGTATTTTTATAAAGAAATTTGAAATGGGGTTTATGATAGTTGCTATATATGATAATGATTTAAGTATTATTGGAACTCCTAAAGAGATTCCAAATGCTATAAGTTAGC